CAAAGGCATCATGGCATATGCATGAACCATTGTCATGGAAGGGAGGCCTCTTGATCCCCCTATTTAAGGGCAAGGGCTCACCATGTCAGCCCATGGCTTACAGATCCATTTTTCTGTCAGATGTGTGTGCGAAAGTGCATCATGCAGGAGTACGCAATTCTCTTGCAAGTGTATGGCAACAGGACAATCAGTTGATTCAACTCGGAGGACGCAAAGGATGCTCCACTGATGTTGCTCATCATATGCTACATGCACACATCTCTTGGGCCAGACATGTGAATCGATCTTGTGCAGTACTGTTTGTTGACCTGCAGTCGGCTTTTTACTCCATTCTGCGCTCTTCGATTTTCACAGGTGCTTATCATGATGATCATATTTGCCATGCTATGAACCAGTTGGGCATCAAACCGCATGAGTGGCAAGAGATTCGCCGACAAGTTGAAGCAGATGATGCTACCAAAGGGATTGATTCCCACAGTGAAGGAATTTTGAAGGACATGTTCACTGGCACTCATTTTGTCATGCATGAGCTGCCGGGTTGTACAGCCACAACGCGGGGAACGCGACCGGGAGATCCGGTGGCTGACATATTGTTCAATATGGCTTTCAGATTGGTTGTGTTGGATGCAAGGCAAAGAATCAGTGAGTCTGCTACTCTATCATGCTTTGGGCATCCTTCACCTGCCGGTGATGTGACAAAGAGTGCAGGGATGCCTGCTTCTGGTTTTGCAGAGATTACATTCGTGGATGACATTGCATATACCCTGCACACTAGTGCAGCGGAGGATCTGGTTCCATCGTTACAGGTCATTGCTTCATGTCTTCATGATGCCGCATCAGACAGGGGGCTCACCATCAACTACGCAGCTGGAAAAACAGAGGCCGTAGTGCGTGTTGCAGGCCCAGGAGCCAAAGCTCTCAGACACAAAATTTGGCATGAAATGCGAGGCAAACTTCCGATAGTCACTGAGCATGGAGTGCAGTCTTTGCAATTGGTTCATTCCTACAAGCATTTGGGATCCTACGTGCAAGACTATGCTATAACACAGAAAGACATTCGGTATAGAATCTCGCAAGCCAAGAAAGCCTTTGGACAGATCAGCCGTCCATTCTACAGAAAGAGAAACGTTAATGACACCACAAAGGCATCAGTGTTTTCGGCCCTGGTTTTGTCACGTCATGCTTACAATGCACACACATGGGCTTGGGTTTCCCGACATGACATTGAAACCTGGGAAAACGGAATCAGGGCCCAGGTCGCGGCCATAGCGGTCAACAAGATACGGCCGATTCCGCCTTTTCAGTTCTCAACAGCGGAGCTGTGTGCCCTGAGTGGTATCAACAGCCCCCAGGACACGTTACATGCCAACAGATTGAGATACGTCAAAAGAGCCATCAGCAAAGCTCCAGCTGCACTTTGGTCTCTTATCCATGAAAACAATGGCGTACACTCTTGGATTGCACGGTTTGTTGACTCATGTCAATGGATCGACACTCACCTACCTGGTGGATTGCCGGTGCAGACTGTGCACCCAGGACAGTTGCTCTCATTCATTGCCATTGATGAGAAGTGGTATGGGCGAGTGCGGTCTGCCATTAAAGCTTGTTTGCAGTTTCGTAGAGCTGATGCGGAGGGAAAGCTATGGACATTGAGAGTCGAAAAGCATGTCTCAGGTCTTTCAAATCTGCCAGTTCTCATAAGCCCCAAGGAGAGTTTTTCGTGGAAGTGCAACCCATGTGATGATAGTTTTGCTTCAAAAAAGGCTCTGGCAGTGCATGCCAGGCACAAACATCAATATCGCACAATCCTCAAATACTATGTTCTGGGTGATGAGTGTCTTGCATGTGGCAAGAAATTCTTCCACAGGCAGAGACTACTGGCACATGTGAATGCAAAAAATTCATGCCGAGAGGCATACATTGATTGCTTTGTGCCTGCGCCGGAACAGGAGATTGATGAAATTGAAGACAAGGAGAGAGAGAACAACCAGCTTCTTAAAGCACAAGGATGGCGCCCAACAAAGGCCTTCCTCCCGGTCACAATTGTGCAGGGGCCCCTTTTGCCTCAGGCTGGCTCGGAAGGAGCTGCAGCCATGAAAGACAAATGGAGATTGCGCATTGCGACGTCCGGTAGAGCCTATGAAGGCCTTGACGGTTTTTGCGATGATGTTTCCGCAGATATTGAACCTGCAGTTGAGATCCTGCCCTTCGTGATGCAGACAAATGGAGGTCGTGAAGAAGGTCATGCAGGCGTTTTTCAACAGTTTGGTCTTGCTGCAGAGACGGCAAGATTACACATACGCTGGTTCATATTTGTCCACTTCTTCAGCGGATTTAGGAGGTGCAATGACCTTCAGCATTGCATTGAAGGACAACAAGCAGTCAACGGAGGTCAATTGCTCAGTGTGTCGGTGGACCTATGCTTAGCCCGGGCACATTCCGACCTCACAGACGCTGATACGAAGTCCTTTTGGATCAGCCGAATCAAAGCAGGACAGGTGATTGGACTTGGTGGAGGACCAAGTTGTGAGACTTGGTCAGCCGCGCGCTTTGCTTCACCGGGCCCCAAGCCGCTTAGATCATATGACAAGCCTTGGGGTATTGAGGGATTGAGTTCTCATCAGTGGAAACAAGTGTTGACGGGCACGAAACTCATTCAGTTCTTGGTGGACTTATTGGTGGTGGCAGCTCAGTACGGCCTGTGCGGCTTCCTCGAACATCCACAGTTTCCACTGTGGATTATGCGCTGCCGCCCTTCATCAATATGGGCCACCAAGGTGATCCGAATCTTGGCAAGACTGGCCTGCTTCAGCATTTGTTCCTTTGACCAATGCGTGTATGGATTAGATGCCAAGAAGCCAACAACACTGCTCTTACTGAGACTCAATGACTTCCGTGACATTACACTGCTGCGAGGATGTGGAGGCAGATGTTCGCACCGTCTTGGGCATACCCCTTTGCAAGGAATTAATTGCGATGGCAGCTTCAATACCGCCCGGGCGAAGATATACCCGAAGGCGATGAACGCTGCTTTAGCAGCTGCAGTTACTGGGTTTTTGGTTGATCGTCACATGCACAGCGAACATGATCAACTGCCAACAGAACTGCAGCAATTAGAAGGCAGTGAGTTTGTGAATGAGTCAATTGTGCAGCCTGACTTTCACAACCAATGATGCATGGCAGGCAATGACCGAGCATGGACTCATGCAGCAGTTGCAAAGTGACAAAAGGTTCTGGTTGAACTTAATCCTTGGGTGGGTGAAGTTGAGACCTGTTCGTTTTTTTTGGCTCCTGGTTTTAGGGGATTAGATAAAAGCTTTTGTTGTTGTTGTTGTTCTTCTTCTTCTTCTTCTTCGGACATCAGGACTGTATGACTCACTTTTGGTGATGAACCAACTAAAGGTGAAATAGCCATGTCTGCTCTTCCTGCGAACGTCATGAAGATCCAATGTTCTATGGCTAGGCATTCACTGTTGTTGGTTCAAACCTTCCACGTTGATTGGTTCACTACATTTCAGTACTCACCCAGAGTAAAAATTCAGTGATGGAGTCATTCCCGCAACCCCTGGACCATCCAGCTTGACGAGCTGGAGCAGCATGGTCAGCTTGCTCCGAAATGTCTGCAGTCTGGTACTTTAGAAGCAGCCACTTGCCATACTCTTGTCCGCGCGAACCGTCGGCAGGGAGGACCGCGTCCGGATGGACCAAAGTGAGTCCAACCGCCTTGCCTTAGGTGGCACGACTTCCAAGGATCCAATGACAAGATGGTTAGTTGGTTCATTGGTTGCCATGAGTCTCTGACCAAGTAATGATGGTGCTGCAAAAGCTGTAAAACCGATATACCCTTTCTGTCCCTTTCTATCCCTCTGTTCCTTGCTCCAATTGGAAGCAACATGAAGGAACCTTTTTTTACATTGGTCTTTCCACAGGAGTGGTCTTTTCACAACCACTTGGCCGCAGAATTCCTTGGATTTACGGAAGCCAGAATCACACGGCTTCCCTTTAAATAGAACAACTGATGGAAAATCTTCTTCCATGAAAGGTCCAACCTCCCACAATGCTTTCATTTTGAAGAGCCAGTAGTTGGATTTTACCAGAGTCATTGGATGACTTAGATGCCCTGCTGGTTGCATCCTGATGCCCCTGCAGATATGAAAAGGTCGCTGCTTGAGGCGGGTCTTTCAGTTTTAACACATCCCAATAGTGTGGAGTTTCCGAGGTGTTTTCATGTTTTGGGTCGTACTTTGATTCACAACTGAACATCAATGAGTTTTTTTTTGCCAAGTTACAGGCATCCATGATGGGAAACTACCTAGGCACATCAGTTTACGCTAGTGTATATATATATATATTATATAATTTATCATAGTTAATAATTAATTAATTATATATATATTTATGATATTTATTCGAACAATTGGGAACCTCCGAAAAGCCTCAAGAAATGGGTGTATATTTCTTGGAAAGCAACCGCCATTGAGGTGGATCAACCTCTTGGATCTCCGGATCGCCGTGCACACACCATAGCTACTGATTAAGATAGCGACATGTGCAAACAAATAATGTATACATATAGTATATATATATATATCCACATGTCCCACATGACTCACTTTGCCCTGGACCTAAGAATTTGGGCTCGTCAGCTGCATGAACCAACCTTACCCCTTAGCTATTGGCGCTGCTGGGGGTACCTTGGGAACTGCTATCCTTGGACTTGTCAGTCAAGTTCTGTTCAATCACCAATATCGGATACCTTTCCCTGAACCTATTGTACCTGAAACACCCTGCTTTTGCCCTGACCTTCCTGATTTACCTGATTTCGATCCTCTGGTACAACCTCGTTGGCTATATTTACTGGTTGTGGTTGGCATTGGGATCTGCTCTGGGGCTTTACTGGACCTTTGCCTCATTGCTCGAGAGCGGTGGAGGCGCTTTGTGGCTGGGCAATTGCTTGGGATTCCAAGCAGCACTGCTCGACCTCTCTATAAGGTCCTTGCATGAGCTCCTCTACCCTTGCTGGATTGGCTGTTGAGGTGGAGGGCCTCCGCGAGGATTTGCGGGTGGTCAATCGGAAGTTGGATCGTTTGCTGGAACTGGTTGTGGGGCACTTTGAAAATTCTAGTGTTTCCAGTTTTGAACTGGTGGGGCAAGAAACAGGCGGCTCACCTGAGCTTTCTGCAACAGCACCTGCTCCAATTAGCTCCTCCCCTGCTGCTGCCGCCGCAGGTCAGAGTTGGGCTGAACGTGAGCGGATCTGCGAGGAGATCGGCAATTTCCTCACTCGAGCGCTTGCAGGTGGGCACCGGGGAAACAGTGGCAGGGACAAGTTGAAATTGGCCAGCAGGCTGTATTTGGTGGTCAGAGATTTTAGTGGCACTGTTACCACTCGCCCCGTGCGGGTGGTTTCAAAGTTCTCAGAGGTCAAGGAGCTTTGCTCAGTGGGCAACAACTGGGGAGATTCCATCTTTGTTGGCCTGCCTTCCCAACGTGAAGGGCGAGCAGTGTGTGAGACGGCCGGCTTTGGCTGGCCTGCCTCCTTCTAAATAGATGGCCGAAGAGGAGGAAGTAGTTGATCCTATTGGGTCAGCTCGCGACCACGTGGTCATTCGAGGGGCCACATTGGACACCCATTTTGAGCTCGGCCAGATCCCAGTGGCCGGAGGGACGTCCTACAGTTCCATTATAGCAGTTGCTGAATTAGACTCAAAGCTAGTTGTCTGCCTGCCTTTGGCTGTTTGGAACCGAAGAGTTGCAAACCGTCTGCTAGCACCTCAAGGCGGACTGACGAAGCCCATTGCATGTTCTTTAGCTGCCTGCGACGAAGAAAGCAGGGAGCGAATTGCAGGAGACGTTTCAGTGCGAGGATGGCTAGGCCTTTTGAGCCCTGCCTTGGAAGCTGGCATCACCTATGGCCGGGATGTAGAACCCGACCACAGTTTTGGAGTTGGAGGCCTTGGGGAACCCTTAGTCCCAGATGCGGAGGCTTTAGCCGAAGTCTTCAACGAGCGGTTCAACATCTTCCACACTGCAGATTCAACTGGAGGAGATCCACCAGGGGCGCGAGATGCCCCTGGGGAAAGAGCAGAGTCAGACAGAATGGCTCAGCTCGAAGCCACTATGCTGAACATGCAGGAAAACTTGCAGAAGCTTTTGGAGAAGAAAGCCGGCAGTCCACCCTCCCTAGGCGCTCGACCAAAGGCTTCAGGAGTTCGGCCGGTTCCGGTCAGTGCAATTGGGCCACCACCAGGGCTCGTGCGAGAAGACTTTGCCGGCTTGGACCCTCAAGTCGTTCGCTCAGCGCTGGACTCCGGGGTCTCAGAAGCACACCTGCGAGAAATGGCGAACCTGATGAGCAAGCACCCTCAGCGGATGGAAGATGTCCCTCGAGCGCCAGCAGGGCTCCGACATGCGGGACCTCTGGACGAATCTGGAGACGAAGAAGAGATAGATGGAGAACCGTTGGAGGAGGAAGGGGATTCCGGAGGCCCAGTGGAGAAAGCCATTCTTCAGCTCACCAAAGTATGTCAAGCGTTAGCAAAGCCTCAGATGAAGCGAGGAAGCAACATCGAGCAGATTCTGGACAACACGGGCCTGACAGGAGGAGCAGAAGGATCTGGGTCAGTCGGAGCCAGAAAGAATGCTACTGCCCTGAGAGCGTTGAAGAAGTGCCTTCTGGAGCAGCCGGAGTACATCTATCAGACCATAGAGGGTGCGATGGCGCAAGACTTTCAGAGCAGAGCAGCCAGACCTGGAGAACCTCTACAAGGAGGATCCGTGCGTGGGTGGCTCGAAACGAGATCCAGGATCACCAACCACCAGGCTCATGTTCGGTGGGCTTGGGCAGTTGGAGCCATATGGGATGCCCTGATACTGGGCAACATCAAAGAAGCGCGGGCCCGATGCGCTGTCCTCATAGCAGCAGCCGATCAGACGTCGATCGACGCCGGCTCTTGGCTCCTATCAGGTGTGGCCCTGTTGGAGCCTGCTCCCCCTTTTCACACCTTTGCTGCTCATCAAAGCCCTGGGCATCAAGAGTTGCAGCACTCCGCTCTCTTAGATCCACGCTGGATGGAGCTTTTCCTGTCCCATGTGAAGGAGATGGATTCCTATCAGGAGACCAAGCGGAAGCTATCGAAGCCGACCGTTCAGGCGGGAGCTGCAAGCCGCGGCGACGACGAGAAGATAGCAAAGGCAAAAGCGAAGAGCAAGGGGAAAGGAAAAGGAAAGGGAAGTCAGAAGGAGGCCGAAACAGAGGCCTCACAGCCAACCAACTGAAATGTCGCATGCGGCCTCGTGAAGGGGCCTTGAAGCAAGCCGAAGTGCCTGCTCCGAATTCAGTGCGAGTTCCTGGGTCTCGAGCTGGAAAGTACAGCGGCAAACAGCTGGGTGACGGGTTACTACGTCATCTCCTTCAAGCTCGATGCGGACTTGGGCTTTTTGCTAGGTCGCTCTTTGGCCGTTTCAGCTCTGACCAGAGCTATACAGAAGCTGGATCTCAATCGCGCACACTGCCGATGCCTTTGCCCTACCCTGAGGCTTGCTGTGCAGAAGTTAGAGGTAGTGGTGAAGATGGTGAAGTTCGCGCTCGGAAGAAGCTGGTGAACTGCATCGTCATCTGCCTGAACTATTTGCACCTTGGCCGAAGCACGACTTGGCCTGCGGATTGTAGGCTGGGGAGAAAATTAAACAAACCTCAGTGGGCTGCAGTGAAGCGTTTTGAGGGCTTCTTGGATGATTGGGTTTCAAGTGATGTGTTTGGACCTGAAGAGATGGGAAGAGTTGCTCCTAAAGTAGAATCCATGGAGGATGTTTTGAAACAACTTGAGTCCATTGCGCATGAGCTTCGCACTTCAACTTCCTGCAGATACTTCCCTGAAACTCACGATGGTAAGCAGGGACCTCTCTTGATGCGAGGTCGAGGTGAAGTTGTTGGAAAACTGGATAGTTGTCCTTTCAGTACTTTCAAACCTGTGGAGGCTGATAGACTGAAGTTTGTTGGTGTTCCGAGTTTCAATCCAGTGCCTTTTTTGGACAAGCAGAGTGCAGACGTGTATCAAAACCCTCTTCAATTCAGTTTAGACCCCGACAGTTTTTCTGGTAGTATCCCTTTTGTACAAGTACACTGTTCGCGAGATGAGAAGATGAAGCTGTTTTCTCTCCTTGACTCTTGCAATAGACTGGGACTTCAGCGTGAATCTGACATTAGGAAGAATTTTGCTAGCGGCCTATTCTCAGTGGTCAAGTCTTTATCTCTGGATAGGTTAATTCTTGACTCTCGGCCAGCAAATCTCCTAGAGCAAGGGGAGCAGCGGTGGATTGGCTCTCTAGCGTCAGCAGAAAGTTTGTGCAGGTATGTTATTCCAGCTGGTTTCAACATAGCAACGTCTGGTAATGACCTTCGAGATTTTTATTATCTTTTTGCTGTTAATGAAGAGCGCAGTCGACGTAATGTGCTTGCTGGTGCTGTGCGAGCCGATGAAGTACGACATTTAAACTGTTATAGTGAGAGTTTGGACAATGGCGAACCACTATACGGAACGCTCAAAACTTTGGCCATGGGAGATACAAACGCAGTTTCTCTAGCGCAAACCTGCCATGTGGGAATGTGCCTACAGTCTGGTAAGATGAGTGTTGATCAACTGCTCACCTTGTCCGGCCCTCTGCCCAGGAGTAAAGTGAAGGTGGGGGTCATCATAGATGACTTTGTGACCCTTTCAGAAGTGCAGGCGGGGACTACTGAGGTCTCAGCTGGAGCCGCACTAGCGGATGAACTAGATCACATTTACAGAGAGGTAGGACTTATTCCCCACACCGAGAAGGGCTTCAGGGACTTGTTGAAGAGCAGTTTTTGGGGAAGTGATTTCAATGGTGAAGACGGCAGGATCCGTGGTTCCCTAAAACGCAGCATTCCTTTAGCATGGTTGGTTTTGCGTATTGTCAAACTTGGTCATTGTACAACAGAATTATTGCAGACGATTAGTGGTTCATTGGTGTCATTGTTTTTATTTCGACGGCGGATGTTGGTACTTCTGGATTCAGTATTTATTGCAGTTCGAGATCGAGAACCTACTAGCATCATCAAGCTTAGCGGACGGCTTATTAGCGAACTCCTTCTCTGTGTTGTTCTTCTCCCTCTTGCTGCAACCAATTTACGAGCACCTGTAAGTTCCACTCTGACAGCCACAGATGCTTCGGATTGGGGTGAAGCTGCAGTCACAAGCATGGTACCGACAGCACTATCACATGAACTATATCGACACACTCTTCGCAAATCAGTTTGGACCAGATTACTTGCTCCTGCGCAGGCGTGGCTTCGCTCCCATGGGAAGCTGGGAGTCGAAGAAGAGCTACCAGGAGAAGAAGACGCGTTCACAGCAAACCCACTTTGGGTTGTTCTTGCAAGATGTTTACAGTTTCGTCTTTTTTTCAAAAAGGGAACTACTGGACGAAGGCATATAAATATCGGGGAACTGAGAGGGTTTTTGAAGGCAGAACAAATTTTAGGCACTCGCGAACCTAGCACTCGGCACATTTTCTGTTTGGACTCACAGGTAGCACTTGGTGCTATTTGCAAAGGCAGGTCAGCATCTGAAGCTCTTAATCAAGAGCTCTCCAGACACTTGGGACTTCTCCTTTTCAATGACTCCTACTCTGAATGTATTTACTTTCCAAGTGCTGAGAATCCTGCTGATGATCCAACGAGAGGACAAGACTTGCGGAGCCCTTCCATGGATGTTCCAGAGTTTTTGCTGGAAGCGATGCAAGGCCGTTTTGGCCCATTGGACGAATGGTTGGCTTCTCACAATATTAGTGACTATGATATGACTGGTTTGCCCCCGGTTTCTGAACTACTCCATGGAGATCCTAGCAATCATTTTTTCTCTTCTCAAAGCTCTTCCTCAACGATGGGGTTGGATGGTTCACACATCACAGCTGATTCTGGTTTTGAAGATGTTGGAGAACTCGTTATTGATACATGTGATGGAAGCTCAAACATACAGCATGACCATGACTCTCCCGATGCAACCGTCTGTTCAGGTACTTTGGCTAGAGATGCGGACGAAGCTGGAGGACCTTGGCAGTTCAAAGGTGTCCACGGGTGGCTTGGCAGAAAAGCAGCCCGGGAAGTAATCGAAACCCTGCAGTGTTTCCGCAAAGATCAGATTTTTCTCGGCACGAACGAACAATGGCCACCAAGTGAAGCTGGTTTTTTAGATTTATTTTCTGGAGAATGTGGAGCAGCGCGAGAGCTTAACAAGCTCACTGGACGATGGGTTGCCACTTTCGATATTTTACATGATCCTTCAGAAGACTTGCTGTCAGGGTTTTTACAAAGACGTATTGAGAGGCTTATTTCACTTGGGGCAATATTGGGCTGGGGTGCAGCACCAGTGTGTTGCAGTTTTTCTGTAGCTGTCACACCACCCATTCGAACAGTCTTGAGACCTTATGGTATAGCTGAAGTAAGCGATAAGACCAAGAAGAAAATCCTCCAAGGCAACAAGTCAGCTAAGTGGCTCCTGCGTTTGATGCAAATTTCTCTGGATTCATCTATTCAATTCTGGCTGGAAAACCCCGACTTGAGTTGGCTTTTTCGTTTACCGTGTTGGAAGAAGTTTGTTTTGAAGCACTGGGAAAAGCTTGGTTTTTGGCGGACAGATTTTTGTCGGTTCGGCAAAAAGTGGAGAAAACGTACACGGATCCTCACAACCACAGTACTCAAAAACCAAAAGACCCTCTGTTTGGGAGGACATGTTCACCAGACTCTCCGGGGTCGCTCTGCCTGGCACAGGAAAAGCTGGACTTTGGTTGCTCAGCCCTACCCCAGGGGACTCTGCAGAGCCCTTGCGACCGGTCTGGCAATTTCGAGCGGTTTGGTGGAAAGGGAGAAGTTTGACCCAGCGGAGTGCGCGAGGTGCTCAGGCTGCCGGATAGGAGAAGCTACGAACCCTGGACCTGCAGGCCGGGGTCGGAACCTTTTGTTAGAAAATATCCCCTTGGTTGAAGCTAAGACTCTAGCCATGCAGAGTAAGTACTGGAAGTGGTTTGAAGACTGGGCTTGTGGCGGTCTCAGTCGAGAAGCTTTCGGAGTTCTTTGCCAGAAACCATATTTGCTCTGCGTGCTCTTGAAAGAGTTCGGCAACTACCTCTTCTCCCAAGGGAAGTCACTTCATGTCTACAGGCACTTGATCGTCTATGTGCAGAAAACTGTGCTTGAGGCCAAGCCCTTCATGTCCCTTAACTGGGACATGGTCGCCAGGTGGGAGATGTTAGAACCCCCAACACATAGGGTTCCAATCCCCAGCAGCGTCCTGCGAGCCATGGTCGCTGCTGCTGTGCTCCTGCGGTGGCATCGCTTTGGGACAGCGCTTTGCTTGTCTTTCTACGGGATCACACGACCTGGCGAAGTGCTTAGGGCAGTTAGAAAAGATCTTGTGCTTCCAGAAGACTTGCTGCTTGAAGAACAAACGGTGGCTTACCTCCGAGTCGGGGAACCTAAGCCACGCCGGCGAGGGAAAGGGCGAGTTCAGCATGCTTCCATTCACAACGAGTTGGTAGTTCGCTTTGCAGCTGCTGTTTTTGGACATATACCTTTAGCCGAGCTGCTGTACCCAATCTCACATGGAAGTTTTCGGCGACGTTGGGACTTCATCCTCAGGCTTCTAGGCATCTCTGCAAGCGTCAAACTCACCCCGGGCTCTCTTCGAGGCGGCGGTGCTGTTGCTGCATACCATGCTGGAATAGACCTTAGCAAACTTTGTTGGAGGATGAGGTTGAAGTCACTTACTACGCTAGAAAGCTATGTGCAAGAAGTCGCAGCAGCGACGCTTTTGTCTGAACTGCCTGCTGAAGCTCGAAGACGAATCAAACAGTTCTCCGACATGTTTGAACCCTGCTTGTTGGCTACCCTGGCGCCAAGAGCTCCTGTTTAGGCAAGCGTTCATGCAGCTGTGGGCTGCGCTTTGAGCGGATAGCTCCTCTCTCAGGCCAGCCAGTATAGGCGGACTGTGTGCACACCTTTTTGGCAACTTCAAGCTGCTCAACCAAGTTGTTCAGATGATGGTCTGACCTCCTCATGGAAGAGCTTAGGAAGCTTGTAGCTGCTGAGGAACCGAGAAGACTAGCCATACGGCCGAGAGAGCAAAATGGTGCCAAGTGCCATTTTCTGGAAGGGTAAGAGGATGTGATGTCATGTCCCACATGACTCACTTTGCTCTGGACCTAAGAATTTGGGCCCACCCTGCTTTGGTTTTGACCCTGCCCAGACTGTGTGCACACCTTTTTGGCAACTTCAAGCTGCTCAACCAAGTTGTTCAGATGATGGTCTGACCTCCTCATGGAAGAGCTTAGGAAGCTTGTAGCTGCTGAGGAACCGAGAAGACTAGCCATACGGCCGAGAGAGCAAAATGGTGCCAAGTGCCATTTTCTGGAAGGGTAAGAGGATGTGATGTCATATATATATATATGACATATATATATATACACATATATATATAATACACCTATAATATCATGAGAATACTCTCAAGATGGGAAAAGGAGGAATTCACATACCTGAGCCTTCATAGCGGGTATCCGGGTATCCGCCCAGGCTTTGGGGCAAGTCTCGTGCGACAACTTGAGTGAGGCGACATAGGGATGTAGCATCCCGAGAGAAACTGGGGAGAATTGGAGTTTTGGATTCCAGAAATTTGAAAAGGAACCAAGGTGAACCAAGGTTTTTTTTGGGCGGGGGAAATTGGATTTGGGTTTTGGGCTATCTCTTTATGGCGTCCTCCAGCTTTTTGGGACCATTTGAACCAAAGAAGTGCCACAAGTCATGAGAGCTTATAAGGGTTCTGTCGTTGTGCAGTACTGTCATAGTGGTCATTTGCTTCCTTCCCACCTGAACCGGTGGTGTATGGAGATTTGGAGGACTCGTCTCCAATTTGTCCTACATCCGCAGAGAGTTTGGAGATGCCCCCTACAAAAACCAGCAGCTGTAGAGGCGGTGTTGCAGCAAGTGGTGGCGGGAACTTGCGGGTAGGCTACATCTGACAGAATGCAGAGGTCACATGGTGTGTGAGAAATCTGAACAAGAAACATGAGATGCATTAATAGTTGATTTTGATGCATGAAGGAAATCGGGCAGGATGCATTGGAAGTGGTAGGGAAGCACCATGGCTGTCCACAACTTTGGAGGTCGTGGAGCTGCTGGAACACATCGATGAAGTCGGGACAGTGACAGATGGTGACATGCACCTTGCTGGTTATCTCTCCATACCATATCTTGCGACTTTGGTTTGTCCCTTTTGCAATTTTGACATTTTGGGTGGGAACTAGCAGTAAAGCCCTGGTGGAATTTCTCTTGAGCCCACAAGATTTCAAGAATTGTCTCCTGCTCTTCGTAGTAAATTCTCGAATCCATGTTGCCTGTATACAAGTTTCTAAGCATCTAAACACCATCATGCAGCCTTCTGACGCATGAAGGGGGTTATCATCATTCGAAGTTCTTTGGAAAATTCAGCCTTGACATGACAGAGAGATCATTAGTTTGGTTCTTCCTGATGTGTTCGAATTCGCTCTCTCATCTCTTTCAGAGATCTCAGGCCGCTGTCGGTGCCCTGCTGCACGGTCGACGCAGGCCCTGCTGCTTGCCATGGCCTCAGGTGATCCATGGCGGAGAATCACAGCTTGACGTGGCGACAGAAGGCATGGCACTTTGCGACCGATATTAGCTTCTGCAGTGAGGCACCGTTAAAGTCACTGGTTCCCAGATTGAATATACGTATATATATATAATAATAATAAAAATGATAGTAATAATGATAATGATAATTTGCCTTCTGGAAAAATCCAACATCCCAACATCCTCACATGCTCTGGAACATTTCCCCTCAAGGATCCCATCCTGGTTCGACACAATGCGAATGCCTGACGTATGGTGAGGGGATCCGAGGGAAGTACATTGCCTGTCAAGGCATGTGATTCATGCTGGGTATGTAGGGAACAGTCCTGGATCTGTGACTAGACCAATGTTCAGAACACCCAGTGCTGAGGCTGCTAAGTTTTTTTTGCAGTGAATGATCTATGTCCAAGATTTCACAACCTCCAGTCTTGCTGGTTCTTTCCACTTTCGACACCTGCACATGTTCCAGGCTATACTTTTCTTCAGTTCGAATGCCATACTTTATTCACCCCGCTTCGCGTGGGGTGGCCGCCCACACCGCAGGTTTATTTCGGTCCGTGAGAGGGGCTAAGGGTGGTTTTCCCCCGTGGGGGCTCTTCAAGCTAAGAAGTTTCAATAAGAAATCCTTCCAAAACATTGTTTTTGACAGTGGTTTTCCAATGTTTCCAGTCAAACAGACGGTAATTTACACGTTTTTTGCCATAAAGGCAGTAAATCCTTCCAAAACATTGCTTTTGACAGTGTTTTTGTAATGTTTCCAGTCAAGCATACGGTAATTTACACGTTTTTTGCTATAACGTCAGTCCAAAACACTTGTTTTTGCAGTGTTTTCAATGCTCTGGCATCCAAAAACCCTGCAAAATCTTGCTATGTACAATGTTTTTTTTCATTTTTGGCCGTTTTTCCATTGCCGGAAAGCTACCAAAATGACCCAAAATTCCATTTCAATACCCTCTTGCGCTCAGACACCCAAAAATCCTCGAAAAATGTCGAAAACACCACCGTATTCTGGTCTCGGTGCGAAACCGTTTTTGGGGTCTGGTCTCGGTGCGAAACCGTTTTTGCCCCCCCCCCCCAGCTAAAGCTGATATAGCGACTGCTATATTAACAAATGTCATTGAGCATTTAGTGTTGCTGTTGCCCCCCAATAAGCACGCCTTCACCGCCAAAGCGGTGTGGGCGGATTTCTTTAATTTCCTTAAATTTGAAAGCAGCGGAGCAGGCTTTGTCGGCTTTGTAGCTCTTTGGTTCAGGCCAATGTTCCTGTGCTGCGCTCGCCCCGCCATGGATCGCCCTGGGTTGTCCAAGTTGCGTGCACGCTTCCGGCGGGGCAAAGGTCGGGTGAACACGCGGAGCAAGTTCAAGTCCAAAGTGGCGTACGAGGATGAGGACAACGAGGGCAACGAGGAGGAGCAACGGCCGGACTATGTCGACGAGGACCCAGAGGCCATGGCCCTCAAGATTGAGGTGAAATTTCCTATCATTGAGTCAGATATCCCCATGTTTTTGAATGTTTTGGAATGGAATCTTGTTCTGAGCCAACTAGGTGTCAAACGTTGTCAAACCATCTATTCCAGCAAATTCCCACCATCAAAGACACGAGGGGTTCACGACATGCCTCTCACATGGCTTCGCAGGTGGAGCCTTCAAGGGACAGCCTCATGGACTCATGCTTCACCACAGAGCTGGACACACGGAGTCAAATCCGACGGCTGCCCCGGCAGAACATTCACACAGAGACTCGGTGAATCCTCGGTGCATGTGGGGGGACGGTCACAGGGTTGGGAACGTGTGGAACGTGGGAATGTACCAGTTCTCAGGGTGGAAGTAAAGGCATTGTATGCGCTTTGCGTAACCTTTTTTCAATCCTTTTTTCAAACAAGACTAAGACATACCAAGACTTGCAGTTGGGTGTTTCTCAAGGAGTTTGGGTTCAAAAACATTCCCAAAGAAGGTGTGTTCCTGCCAGAAAAGCATTTATTGGTAGCTGGGAAGAAAAGGCACAAGTACCACAGCGTTTCTGCGACAAGGGTGTGTTTCTTCAATTTGGGGCCCCGAAATCTACTGTCCTAGTTCGCTACTCGAGTAGATAAATTGTAGAACATGTGGGTACACAAGCCATGGAAGCCAGCACAAGCAAGCGGGTGGATACGGTTTTTCCGCTCATTTTGTCAGCCACCAATGAGGATACGAAGAACGAGTTCGACGTGAAGCGAGATGAATGTGTTGCCAGGGTCCGAGAGATTATGGACGCATGTGAAGACAATGGACAAAAGTTCTTCGATCAAAGCTTCTTACCTGATACACTTTCCCGAAAGTGGTGAAAGTGGTAGGCTGGTGACATAAAAATCCACAGCCTCTGGGTGAACAAAACCGGCTTAAGATGGGAAGATTGCTTGAGGCAGTACCTTGCCATGATCCTCTACGATATCATAGTAGCATGGTTTTCCTCCTTGCTCTTAACCAAGGTTATCCAGTTTTCCCGTTATATTTGATTATATTTGATTTTTAAATCACTACAAAAATCAAAAATTATCTTCGGATACAGAAAGCTGTCTTCTTGGAGACCAACTTTCCTGCTATCGTTGATGATCTTTCCTTCGGAGATTCTGGATCTGCTCCAATTGCTGAAGGGCTGCCATTTATCGGCCCCGGTTGCCGAGGTTTTTATTTCGACAAGCAGGAGAATCTGTTTCCACCTGGAACACCGGATGACTGTACAGTGGGTTTGCCCCAGAAGTGCATGCGAATGTCCGAACTCTTTGGTGAAGACTGCAGCTGGGTCTGAGAACAGCGTATCATGCATTGAGCACGCAGCAGGTGCGTAATTTGATTTTGGAAATGGCAGCCACTTGCAGCCACTCGAGTGGCCGCAAGTGGCCGCAAGTGGCCGCCAGCATTCTCTTGTCACCGGCAGCCGCTTGCAGCCACTTGCAGCCACTCGAGTGGTCGCAAGGCATTCTCTTGTCACCGGCAGCCACTTGCAGCCACTTGCAGCCACTCGAGTGCCCGCAAGTGGCCGCCAGCATTCTCTTGTCACTGGCAGCCACTTGCAGCCACTTGCAGCCACTCGAGTGGTCGCAAGGCATTCTCTTGTCACCGGCAGCCACTTGCAGCCACTTGCAGCCACTCGAGTGCCCGCAAGTGGCCGCAAGTGGCCGCGAGCATTCTCTTGTCACCGGCAGCCACTTGCAGCCACTTGCAGCCACTTGCAGCCACTTGCAGCCACTTGCAGCCACTCGAGTGGCCGCAAGTGGCCGCAAG